GCTAAGCGCGCACCTTCCAATGAACCACCACGTTTCACGATTGCTTTGAGCGATGCAAGAGCTGTCGAAGGTGTTTTTTTTTTTTACTTTTCTCAATTTTTTCAGTTCGTTATTTTTTTAAACGATATCATTGCGACACTCTTTATTTTCGATATTTCGGGACTACACTCAGTTGCCGGGTAGAACTACCCAGGTTTTTGTTTTTCGAGGGTACTTTCGCCCAGTGTTACCTGCTGTCGTTATTACACTAAAGTGTTGAAGTGTCTCCAAGCTTGTGTATACATCTGGCTTGTAGCTGTGTCTTCTAACGGTCTAGTATTATGTATACCTCTAACCTGTATGCTATACGTCCAGAGGTTGTCAACAGCATGTCTAACTAATCCAGTTATGGACTGTTAATTTTTCCAAATATGCAGGGCAGCCATTGCAAATTGAATGCAAAATCGAAGGCGCACCGCTGACCGAACTTGCGTGGTTTAAAGACGGTGAAAGAGTGGTTGCCGATGACAGGATTAAAATAGAAAGTGATGCGGATGGCCGAGCTCGCCTTGTTATCAATCCTTGTAAAATCGATGACGAAGGTACACTCAGAAACTTGAAACTACAAAGATTATTTGCTTTTCTTACAGCAATTGCTTTTAGGAAGTTTTATGCACAGAAAGACTTGTTGTCTTTTTTTCGGCGGAGTCGAACCTTCGACTTTCTGCAAAACAGCAGCGATGGTACTCCCCCAACCTTGCCAATACGTGATAAAGTAACCAGGAAAAAGCACATCACATGGATACGTAGACTGTGCCAGAGTGTATCAGAATGTACATAAAATAGATTCAGTAGAACAACGAAATAGCCATACCACTTTCAAATTTATAGAAAAAAAAATTCCTAATTTTTTAAATTTCTGTATATATATATATATTGAATTCCTTAACTAAAATAATACATTTGTTGAATAATATATTTCTTTATTTTCGGTGGAAGATGTTGATTTTATGATTAATAAATTTAGGTATGTATCGTGTGATTGCAACAAATCCGGTTGGATCGGCACATGATAAAGCCCATGCAACGGTGAAAAAACTGCCAGAAGATCGAATTGGTGGATTTATTGACGGGTACGTGCATTTAACTTATCCTAAAATTTTGATTGGCTAAGAGAGCATATTTTTGTGCTAGCATTCCGACGAACAAGTTTTTCACGGTTGCTAAGATCGAAGCTGAATTGAAATTGGAAATCTAAAGAAATGTATTGAAATTGTAATTCAATACTGGCGCTACATAAACCGTTCTACTGTTCTGTGTCGTTTGCATAAGTTTTACTCATCCTAATGGTACTGATCGCTTACTTTTTGTTATGTGAGTTCTAAATGTCGCCTCAGAATTTTTTTTTGTCCAAAATCTATTATCCTTGGAAAATTCATAAGGCTTTGGCCGGGACATATTTTGTTTTACGGATTACTGATGTTAAAAAAAAGAGTATTCAACTCAAATTTCTAGTTGGTAAGCTGCAGGACCAATCAAACAATGTTTAAAGTGAAAACTTTTAAGTTTTTTTTTAATTTTTTCGAGAGCATGAACTTTTTTTGGTTTTTTTTCTGGGCATTTTTCAAGGTTTTTTTGTCAAATCAACTACAGTTGTTTGCTACAATTGTTAAAACTTTTTATTGTTTTTAGCGAGAAATTTGATGCATATCGTGCTCCACGCGTTGTGATACCACTTGAAAGTATCAGGATCTCAGAAGGAAACGAGTTCACTTTGCGATGCAAATTTAGTGGTGATCCACGGCCATCAATCAAATGGTTCAAGGACGGCGAGCGTGTATACTCCTATGAACGTTGCAGTTTGGCAAGTTTTTTTCTTTTAGTTAAGAAATTTTAATTAGAGAAATTTTCGCACCTGGCGAGTGGATAAGTAAAACTGATAGCAAAATAATTCGCTTGCTTCACTTCCCAAAAATGTTGGTCGCGCACCACTGAGCGTTTTTTGTGGCACTTGCTTTGACCCTACCTGCAGTTTTATATCTGACATACGTGAATTGTAAGGTAGCAGATGAAAGTTGGAAATAGGTGAAGAGAGAGAATAAATTTAACTGCACCTCAATAACCTAAGAGCTCCGCATGTTGAGAGTTCAGTATTTTTTTCATTATGATTCAGAGAAATTAAGTTAAAGAGGGATGCATTTGCAGACGGAGACAGAAGATGGTACCTGTGAGCTAAAAGTCAAGAGCGCAGGAAGATTCGATGGTGGTGGCTATCGATGTGTGGCCGAGAATATCTATGGTAGCGCACGGACTACATGTGAAGTTACTGTACAATGTAAGCAGCCCTGTCTTCTATTTCCAGATACATGATTTGAAAGGGTCAAAAATTTTCAAATAAAATTCAACTATTAGTATCCAGAAAAAGTGTAGATGAGGCTTTTTGGCAAATTTTTCTACCAAAGTTTAAATATACATACAGTCTGTTGTATAAAAACGGAAATGTTGGAATAGAGTGTTACGGAAGAACCAGTTATAGGGCAGTCTGTGTTTCATCCCTTAGTTGCAAGCATACATTTAGAGGCCCGACACAGTCGTCTAGAGCGAGAGGAAAAAGTTTGACTGAAGTTTTGGAAACGTTCGGAAAACCATTGTTCCAAGTTTATTGACTGAGATTTTGAAAACATATGTTTAGAATATGTTCATGAGTTTCTGTGAAATTTTAATTCAAAACTTAAATTTTTCTTACAGTGAGAGAAAAGAAACCACAGCGCAACTTTGAAGAGGAAATTCGTGAAGGTAATGCGCCTGGATTTTCGGTTCCGCTTACTATGAAACGAGCGAAACTGGGTGATAACGTTGTAATGGAATGTGTTTCGTACGGTAACCCATCTCCGGAAATCAGATGGTTGAAGGATGGTATCGAAATTGACAGCAGCAACAAAATTAAGGTGGATTTTTTGTGTTTTTCAATTTGAAACTTCGTTAGACTTTGTGCGGTTGCTTTTCGCGTTGCTGAAAGACGTTTTCGATTCGATCGCTGATGGTCGGGCTGATGCGCATAGCAACCTCCCATTCTTCTCTGTTTTGCACCTTAGCGCCTAGTTTTGTATAAACATTCTAATCGATTACTCCACCTCATCTTCGTTATTCCACAGATGCCTTAAATGGATCTTTTGTTTGTGTTGCAACAAGAAAATCTTCAGAGCGAACTCCATGTGGTACTTTCACCAACGTGGC